TTGGAAAATGCTGCAAACAAGGAAAAGTTATTCTTCCTACTCTTCTTGACCCACCTTTACATTTACGGCGTCTCTTCAAAAGTTAAGATGAACAGAGCAAAGAATTTCGTGCAAACATACGCCAATATAATGCTGCACATGCGTTTACTTCGTTAGGGGTAAATATCGACTCAACTGTCTTAAGTGGACATGCCTCATATTGTTTTCGCATTCATGGTGAACTGCGTCATTGGTCAGGCTCACTCCTTTCAGAGTCTAATCCAGCTACAAATTATGCACAACTTTATATTCATGACCCGGATATTGCACACCAAATACGAATGGGAAGAAATAAAAATTTAAGTGCTCAAACCATGTGGAAAATACAACAAATTCTTCGAGAAAATCATGTGTTTTACCCTAAGTATTGACAAGCCCATGAAATTCTTTCCAAGCCCGTGAGGAAGGAGCGTCCAAAACCGATTTAACTGTTCGCCTTCATTTTAATGCAGCTACTGATCGACGTCGTTACAATCTTCCTGCTTCAAACGAAATAGCCCTTATTTTGCCCGGTGATAGATCTGCACCAGAGGGATCTCGAGACATTATACTTCGTTTACGTGGAGGTCCACTTGAACACATTCACGAAGGCAATCCGGCTTATTTACCACTACACTATGTGCTTTTTTTTCCATATGATGAGCTTGGGTGGCAAGATGAATTGTGTCAAGTTGTAGTCGATGATAATGGAAGAACGATTGAAGATCAGAGTAATGCACCATGCCTTACACAGATGGACTTCTACTCATTTCGTCTTTTTTCAAGACATACAGAGTTTTCATCTATTCTTCATGGTAGAAAGTTGTTACAGGAATTTATGGTAAATGCTTGGGCAGTGACTGAACAAAATCGGTTAAGATTTTTGCGTATAAACCAAGGCGTTTTGAGGGCAGACGTATATCAGGGCCTTATGGATGCAATAGGGGCTATTGCAAATACAGAAATAAATTTAGCTAATCTTGGCCATCGTATAATTCTCCCTTCATCACATATTGGAAGTGCCCGTCATATGTATGAGATTTTTCAGAATTCGATGGCAATAACACATTTTTTTTAGCATCCAGATATCTTTGGAACCATGACCGCAAATCCGAATTGGCCAGAGATTGTTAATGAATTACTACCCGGCCAGACTTCAGCAGATAGGCCAGACTTGGTAGTATGTATATTTGAGCTTAAACGTCGTGCTCTTCTCTATAACATTAAGAATACTAATATTTTCGGAAAAGTTGTGGCATATGTATATACAATAGAATTTCAAAAACGCGGTCTCCCTCATATGCATTTTTTACTTTTTCTTCATAACGACGATAAAATAAGAGAACCTGTTGATGTTGACAGAATTGTATCCGCTGAATTTCCCATCGAGAGACAGATTCTTTGCTCTTTGAAACAATATTACGTTGTATGGTTCATGGTCCTTGTGGCGCACGTAATCCTCAAGCCCCATGTATGGAGAGTGAGAAATGTCAAAAGAAGTATCCTAAAGACTTTAGTGATACGACGTTAATGGATTCTAATAGGTATCCTCTTTACGCAAAACGAAATGATGGCCACATATTTAATGTTGGCAACAAGACTATCGACAATAGAGATGTGGTACCATACAATCCCGCACTTAGTCGAAAATTCAATT